CATACTTGGGTGGGGGGCTCGGTGTTCGTCAATTGCGCCGGATTTGGGACACTACCTGTATAGTATACATCTATTGCGCCGCTATAAAAAAGGTATACATCAATTATTGCACCGGAGCATTTGACAATGACACAGATTGTCTTGGTTAGTTTTAATTTTTATAAAAATTATATTATATTATAATAAATTAATTAAATAATAATTTATATTAACTATATTATTTTTATAATAATTTGGACAACAATAAACAAAAATATATACATTACACACAATTTAAATAATTTATAATCAAAAAGTCGATGACTGTAAAAGTTTTAAAACATTTGATATAAAAGTGACTTATCTGGCAACATAAGCTTCATCATATTGTGAGGCAATTAAAAATATGTCGAACAAATAGTCAAATATCATATTTCATTATACACGTAAAAACCATAGTTGTAAAACCTATTTGGAAGTTCCTTATTTACCAAATATACAACAATGCTGTTTTGTAATCAACAGAAATAATAGGTATTACACATGTTTATATAATGATGTATTTAAGAATCGATCGGCGCAATTGACGTACACAATTTATAACATTGAAGTATCGATCGGCGCAATTGATGAATACCTTTTTCCTATCCCATAATTTTTCTTTTTTTACCTGTGATTTACGGCGCAATTGATATATGTCCGGGGGGTTGGCGAAATGTACGTTTATACTCGTAGTTGTATTAAAGTTTTAAATCCTACAAGTATTATACCAGGTGACTCTTTGATCATTGAACACCCATTATTTCAAAAATTATTAATGTTTTAGAAAACATTATTTTACATAGTTTCAAGTTGTTCAAAAACCAAAGTTTTTATAAAAAAAAATTATTTTTTAATATTTTTTATCCTTACCATTTTTTAAGTGTTTTACTTTTTTGAGTGACAACATAGAGTTTTAATTTCATATTCTAAAGCAGAATATTTTTCTAAGTATTTTAATTCATAAAATTTGAATTTAGGACGAGTAGTTTATGAGTTATAAGTATTTAAAGTTTAGAT